ACCTAGTATGTCGATCTTGTAGCGTTCCAGGTCGCTGGGAAGCGTCTCATGTTGCTTGCGCTGTGAACCAATGGAGTTGACATTAAACGTACCTAACCGAAGACGGCGCTGCGCGGGCGCGGAGGCGTCGGTGGGAGTGGTGCATACACGAGTGGGGGTTAGTCCAGAGAGAGAAGATCAGTGAAAAGCTGGCAGACGCGGTGAAGCACCTGCCGAAAGCGTTGGGCGAGCATCATACTCCCCAAGCTTCCCGGGAGGGCGTTACCCCTACCCGACCAGAATATACGTATCGTTCTGCTACAGATTGAGTGGCGTAATCATTTAACAGATAGACGGTAAACAAAACGCGTTCTAAACTAGAATTGTTTCACGCCTTTCATGTAGAGCGAAGCCTGTAGCTATTATTGCAATGAATTTATTTGCTGCTCCTAGAAAATAATCACACATCTTTGACACTTGGAAAAATCTTTCACAATTGATGGTTCATTTTTTTAAGATGAAATTCTCAGATCAAAAAAAATCTTTTTTTACTTCCTGTTGGTGGTCATTTTTGAATATCGTCGGGTTGTCCTTGTACATTAATCATGAATCTCACATGACTGTATTTCCCGGATATTTTTTTCGAGCGGAAAGGAATCAAACACATCCATGGGGTGTGAGAAGCCCGGAGGAATGCGTTGACGTCCAACGAGGCCTAAGAGACGGCGCAAGTTGAAAGTTCCACTATTCCGATGAACAGTAGCAATCAGAATTTGCGAAAGAGGATTCGCGCGCTGGCGACAGAAAAATACATACCATATATTTTTGACGCAAGGAAGTTTCCTTCATCGATCTGCTAATCTATCCAAATAAGACTCTCTTCGCGAAGTGACGACTTCAAACGCGTGACATCGGGATGACGGCATTCCTCCGCGAAAAATGGCACCAACACCAGGAGAAGGACCGAAGCTGCAATTGGGCTCGATCTCTTAGAGGCTTTTTACGTAGGTCAATCTACGCGACTTTATATGCCGATTACGAGTTCCTGTTGCACTTAACAAATTTAGAAACCTAAAATGACCTCATAGACGTAAGTTGGGAGTTTAACGATTCTTTTTTTACCATTTTCAAATGCCGTTGCCCTCGATACCAGTTCTTGATAGTCGGTTTAGACGTATCTCTCCCATTCTTCTTGTGAGAGTTCGCAAACAACAAAAACAGGAGTCGCGTCATCGCGATCAGTAGAAAACAAAGCAGCTTTGACTTCTTTCCAATCCAACTTTTCAATGACACAATTTGTCTGCTTAATTGGATTCCCGCGTATGACAGTCCCCGTCTGCAAAAAAAGGCAATGTTTATGATTCTGTGTCTCGTCTCAAGTATCTTACACACAACATTGAGATTTGATCATCTTGATAATCAGGTACCCATACAGTAATTTTACACTATATCGTACTAATGCTTGTATGTTTAAGACGATAGACGAGCAATCCCCTTCTGAAACCAGTCACAAGTGGCATGTTTGCTAATTATGAGCAACTGTCGCTATGCTTTGCTGTTTCACAGTAGTACTCGTCGGCTCAATCCAACATCAAAGTGCTGGAGTGGTCACATAGAGGAAAGTCTGCATTGTACTCTTAAGTTTACCCTATGTCGTCATCGTACGAGTAGGGTTACCCTCAATCTTCATGAACATAACCCCGTAGCAACATTGTATTATAGTACATTTTTACATACAGACATATGATGCAGATGTATTTGTGAGATATTATTAGGCAGGCTGAACAATAAGATTGTTTAGGTGACTAGGCGAACGAACAATCAACAGAAGCAATCATCTTCTTCTTCTTGAAGTAGAAGTCCGCAGAATCGAGACTAAAATCTATAGAAATGTTTTTTGCCACCGTTTTTAGGCATGAAAAAAGACTGGTTAACAAAGCCCTTTCCTACAAAGGTAGATGTTATTACGCCCTATATTCAAGATCTTTTTGGCGAACAATTTAATGTCGCTACTTTCTTTTCTTTTCTTGATAGGAGAGAAATTTCTCCGCATTGTACCGATAGCATCTCCGTGTCAGTCTGCCATCATCATCAACGCCAGCTGGGCATAGTGAGACTTGTTTCAAAATAGCAAGCATGCCACCTCTTCCTGCTGTTGAGATTTCATGGGGATTGTTCCACGGAGGGATCTATCAATTATACCATACAATTGTATAATTATTATGTATGATTATAAATTAATACGGCAATATCGAACCTGTACATTCGATTCAAGAAAAAAAACATGAGCATTGCCTTTTTCGGGACGGGGAATCCTACCGTTCGCCGTCAGTTGCATCATCCACGCGGAAAATGGCAACTCAGCAGATAAATCGTATTATTGAGAAGCTAGATTGGAAAGCAGTCGAAGCTGCTTTGTTCAATACTGAGCGCGCTGACTCGGATCCTGGTTTTGAGGTTTGTGAAGCTTCATTAGAAACATGGGAGAGATACGACAAGTCAGAGTATCAAGCACTTAAATCGAGAGCAATGACATTTGAAGGTGGTAAACTCTACATCGTCGAACTTCCATCTGGCATTCACGAGGTCTTCTTAGGTCTACTAGACTTTGCTGTGCTGACTGCGACTGGAACAGGTACTCAACACTTGCAGTCGTGTAGATCAACTTACGTGGAAAGCCTAAGAAAACTCGAGCCCGATTGTAGCTTTGGTCCTACTTTTGGTGTTGGTGCCGTTTGTCCCACAGGAATGACGTGGTCTGAATACCACACATTAAAGGTGGAAGTGGGCATCTCGCGAGGATGGCCCTGTTTGGATAGAAAAGCAGATCGATGGAGAGAATATCCTGGCGTCGAATTTATTCTCTGTATTCGTTTGTCACGAACGCTGCGAATTCGTCAGTATAAGCTCTACACAATGGATAATCGCGCAAATCCTCTTCCGCAAATGAATCCAGTTGCTATCATTAATCCGACTGATATAACTTTCAACTCGCGCCGTCTTTTAGGCCTCGTTGGACGTCGTCGCATTCCCCCAGGCTTCTCTCGCCCTAATGTTGTGCTTGATTTGATTCTGCTCATTGAGATATTAATGCAGCGAATCCAGTGAAATCGTATCCGACTATCGAATAAACTCAAAAAATTGACCGGAGAGCTCTAGGATGTTTTAGTTTTGAAATCACCTAGCAACCTGCAAACAACTTTTGAAGTTAAAAAAATAGCAAATTAGATCATTACAAAACAGACAAATATTTTCTACAAACGAAGATGACAAAATCAATAGCTTAACATGTATTCTGCCGTAGTTGTCTAAGGTAAGGAGTTAAATATCATAGACAAAATCATGGAGTGCTTACTATTTGGTGCACGCAGCCCTCGACATCACGTGCACAAAACGAGCTATAAAACACTAACTTTACCACGAACAATATAGATTTTACCATTTTCAAACGTCAGAGCGGTTGATAATTTGACTTGACGTATCTCTCCTACTCTTCTAACGAGGCTTCGCAACCTCAAAATCAGGATACGAGTCTCGCGATCAGTCAGAACAAAGCAGCTTCGACTTATAAGTAGTGCTGATAAGGTCAATTTTGTCACAAAGGGTACACGACGGCTAGTTTCAGGGTGATATCCGTGCTCCTTGCACTTTTGTGATCGCAAAAACTTTTCTAAGATTGGCGGCTATACTTTGAAAGAAAGGAAGAACCATATTAATGAACTGGGTACCCAACGGACGGTCACTATGAACTCTTTTTCTATATGTGTTAAATTCACGCGCTTTGTCGCTGAAAACAATGCAAGTCAGGTGACCATCTTGTTTCTGCTTGTATTGATTCAAGAAATAATTTGGCCACAATACACGATCATGGTAACATTTTTTTAGTGCGAGCGTTTGTGAACCATCTCATTGCTTGCAGAAGCATTTAGGCTTGCATAGAGTGGTGACTTCAGTTGTGAGGACTGAATATTTTCTGTTCATTGATCACTTAAATGGAAAGAATGTTTTTTGAATAATGCATATCCCACTATTCCTACTACCAGGTTACCATTTGAGCAAAAAAAAATATTTGCCTTTAATATCAGACATGTGTTGTCAAGTATTATACGACAAGCTTGATGACTTTAAAATTTGCCCAGATTCTTATAAACTTGATAAGCGTAAATTTATAAAGTAGTCTATTTACATGTATATATAGATGTAAAATATATTGTAATCCAGTACTATGTCATCGCTGCCTCTCGATGTACCTAGGGGTACTCTCGATCATGGCTTCAGCGAAACGAAAGAAAAACCGGTTTTCCCTTCCCGAGCTTCCTTTCCCATTTCAAGAAAGAGAAAAATGAGCGTATACTGTGACGAGGATTTGTTTCTGGCAATCTTTGGTATGGTACGGCCAACATTAACACCTGCTGCAAGAATGACGAACACTGCTAATGAAATTTGTGCCGTCATGGATGCATTGAAGCTTGATGAGATTGCAAGTTATTTCGACCAAGATGGCGACGAAATCGACCCCTATGTTGTTTGTGAGGGAGTTTCCGTTGATGCGTTCAATGAGTATGTTGGAGAGGGTGAAGGACTGCGGATTGCGCTTCGATTTCTCGCCCTCCATGATGGACGTATTGTGATTGTCGACCTTCCAACGACAGTGCATGAGAGCACTGCAAGATCTTTCGAGAAAGTGTTTAATCTTGCATCAGGAAATGCTCTTGAGGTTGCAAGTCGTGGCTCGATGACGGCGAGTATAGCTGCGCTTCCAAACAAGGAGGCTGATGCGACATTTGGACCGACGAAAATTACGCTCAACCGAACACCGGCACCAGCACCTCGCACCGTTACTGATTGGGTCACGCTGGCAGTGGAGGTTGGAAGATCTCAGACGTGGACAAGTCTGTTGGAAGCTGCCGAGTGGTGGTGCAATTCCAGTGGAATCCAGTATATCCTTCTCTTGAAAATCAGTCCTCAAGGTGTTCGGATGCGATACGCGCTTTATGATATTGCCGTACTTGGCATTCTACCAGCGCCAACTGCAAGTGGAACGGTTTATCGACGCACCAGAGATCAACCTGCTGTCGATGTCTTCTTCGATATGCGCCAAATTTTATCGATTCCCCCGAATGCAGCTCTTCCACCAGGCGTGAGCCCAACAGCTCGTGTCGATCTGCGCACCGTCATGAATCTTGTAATCGCTAGTCTTGACTAAAAAAAGCACTGCCATGATACTATCTATATATGATCATGATTTCATGCCAATCCAAATATTTTGTTTTTTTATGAATGGGACTATTTTTATATATTAGTATTTATCCCAATACTCACATGCTTACATACTCACAAATATTTACTATTGATATACAGAAAATATGTAAGCTATTGACATGATCTGAGTCAAAGCTTTGTGGGAATTTTGCTATTACTCACACTTTCATCTGAACTCTATCTCCTATTGATATTAGACGAACCAAACCTTATTCGTTCATTGTTTCGTGAAGGTAAAAGGTTTACGGACATCCTCGACAGGTATGTACGATCTGTCTCATGCGTCAGGTTCGAACATACATTGACTCGGAATTTAAGATTGACAATGACTATGCTCCTCTTCTTGATCAATATTTGAGATTTCGGTTCGATGATGAAATTATCGATTGGTCGCTCGATGAAGTAACTGCTTTTAATACTTTATCTCACCAAGTGCGATTTGAATAATCTGATTATGCTAAAAAACATATTCTATGCTGTGATGGTATGGATAATTTTGCTAAAACTCTACCAAAGGCTGATTTCTTCAGTATGGGAACGCGTGGCTCAGTTCAATGTCTTGTGAAAGGAGAAGGCTCAATTCCAGTCCATGACTTAATTCGTTCCCGAAGAAAGCAAAAACACGAATCTTGAAAATGAGATCAAAGGCCAGGAATTTGGCATCTTTCTACACCGTTGTCGACCAACTTATCTAAAGATTTGTTTCGAATGCAAGAACAAGAACAAGGGAGCTTAGAAGTTTTATTCAATATCGTTCATTGAGAATCTCAACCTTCTTCGTATGGCTACGAATCACACTTACCATCTCAACTCCGATGAATGTAAATACGAAGAAGGTGCTTCTATCTCCGTTCCTTAGTTGAAAGAAACTTGCAAAGGTTTATGGATCTGGAAAAATAACAATATTACATATGTCTCGTGGCGAAGTTCTTTTTTTGTGTTACAACTTTCAATTTATTCTCTACATATTTATTATCAACGAGCATAATATTCAAGATATCAGTTGTATCTTGGGTGTTTTATCCATTACATATTTCTCTTTGATATGTAAATCTCGAGATGGAATTAATACGAGTTGGCCTTTATTCAACTGAGAGTGGCTAAAACGAACGGGTTTGCCATGTAGGACTTAAACAGCCTGTGTATGATTCAAATTGACGGCAAGCTCCTTGTACATCTAAATTGTTACCTCTACACAGAACGAGAGACAAAAATGTCAAAGGTTAATCAAAACACTCAGTCTGGATGACTCAAAAATATTAACACTCGTGATATCAGATTGGGAAGCGAGTATGATAATTCGTCGGACACAACTGTATCAAGGAGATTAATGAGCACTTGAGCATAATCTACCGCACACACCTGGCGATAAGGTACACATTAATCAATCAAAACACAAATTTTGAGAAATAAATGTCAACAATGCACAACTGCCGTATCCCCTTCCACAAATTTTAAAAATGAGCACGACGCAGAGTGATGCGACAGTGGGAAATGCTACCCTACCTGGCACAGTCAAAACAAGCGCTTTCATATATTTTCTGATCTTGGTGTAAGACTTAAATGAAAAAAATAGTGGAAATTTCGGAGTTTCGTCATCTTCATTTTCCGATATTCCGGTAGTTCTGAGTATAAACAGTTACACTAAGAGTAATATAATTTCATGCAGGTGCACCAAATTATATTGGATACAATTGTTAAAGGAAAATTTTCTTGTCATTTGGCGCACGAAGGACCACAGTGATAACTAAATAATCAAGTAGCGCTCTCTAGAAAGTAAGCGACAGCAAATAAACTTTTGTGCTGCGCGTCTAGGAGGACGCCTTGGCAAACAACTGATCTCCTTTTGATTAATCTAGTTCTGTGAGATCTTGATATACCTGTATCATTATAACCATACATTATGACAGCCGGATGAGAAACTACGACTTCGATCCATGAACCGCATGTCTGACTTGATATGATTGCACTGTATTGGCTTTTTCTTTTCTTTTCAGCCATTCATCAATAGTTTCCTTGCTGTAGATGATTATTAACACGAATAACCTCAGTGGGCGTCACCACAAGGTCGAGAGGCATATCGTGCGCGGCCAGTGGCACTTGCTCCACGAGCTGTGGGGTTAAACAAAGACCCTGTGGATCTCAGTTTACGGTAAGTGTGACAACAAATTTCTGCGAGACTAATGAAACATACAATGGTGGTAGGAGGCGGGCGCTTAATGGCGTCGTAATGCTCCCTTAACCGACGCAAAAATGAGTCTACATCAGCCATGAATACAAGCACTCGTAAAAAATTGGCTGTATACGAATCAGTCTATTCATTCAAAGCTAACACTCACCGTAATATCCTTTTCCATGTCCTAGGCGTCCTCCCCCACGATCAAAGGCCACACCTGGGAGCAGGACAAGCTCCAGCTCGCTATCCTGCATCGCTTCAACACGATCTGTACTATCATTGAAAAATAATGGAGGGTCTGGAATCTGCCACTTGTCCTACACATATCTTAGTCTTGTCAAAGTATCAAACGACTGCATTTGCTCGTATGTACCTTAGGAAATTTACGAATGTCGTCCATTGACATTGCTTGTAGCATCTTGAGATCTTCAGCTGATCGCCCCATAATTTTGGGCACAAATACTTTTTTGTTTAATCCAAACGCGGCTTCTAGTAGCTGAGATGTGGATGCTTCCTTAGGCATTTCTAAGTATATGCTAACACCACGAGCGCGCACAAACTCTGGTAGCTTGCAAACTTTCTCGGTCAGCAGGTGACTTTGTCTCGTCACTTCAGTATCTGGCAACGCCTTAAGTTTGGCTGCAATAGAGTGCCGAAGCTCCTTCTTTAGCGATGCGGTCATGTCCTCGGTACAGCTCGATGAAGACGTGCGCTTATTTGCCATGAGGATAATTCAATTGCTTTGTTGAAAAATTTGATCGTTGAAAAACTCAATTGTTAATATTTGCCGATTTTGAGCAAAAAGAGTCATTTTCGTGACAAAATCACAGACGATAGAAATGTGCTCATCCATAAAGCTTGTAGACTACGATTAATTTTAGCTTTAGACTCTGCATGTTTAGATTATTCTTTATATAGTACATAGACTCATCTATTATACTTAACCCAATTTCACGCTCGATAATTTTTAATTTTTTATATATCTGCACTATTTCATTAGTTGCTCAACCGACCTGATGAAGCGACAGAGTTTGGGCCCTATTTAGAAAACTTATCATCTCATCATCTGACAGCTTTTGCACAGATCTGAAAGCCATTAGTGAACAAGTCAGTGGTTGAAACCTCCCCATTCCTGAACTATGTCAAATTGTATAATGACACAGGTTTAATATGACATGGCAACTGCTTGGATTGAGCCAAACACCTCAAATTTGACCAACTCAAATTCATCAGGCAAAAAAGAACGATAAATCGCGATGTAAGATATGGATCGTGAAGCGTTTTGATTTTGATGAAGAAAGCGATACATCGACGTAATACAATTGACGATGTGCCGCAGCTGCCTTCACTTTATTTCTCAGCTCCGAAGGCTGATGTTACTACCTCCCTATTTAGAAAGCCATAGTGGTATCATAAATTTCGCGCACCTTGTAGATAGTGTAAACAGGCTAAAAATACTGGCAAAATGAACAACAGACTCGGAAACTTTTTGGTACTAAATTGTCCATGATACAAATTACCCAGTGAATTCAAGTTGTTGGATCGAAAGAATGGATATCTTACACGGACAACCGCAGGATTCAGGATTACCCAGCCTAGGTCATACATTCTTTGAAGGTGTCAAATCTCAATGCAATTTTAAGCATAGACTTCTGATGTCTGAGATACTACAAATAAATCTGGCTCATTGAACATCAATTTTGCTTGACAACGAGATTTATTAACGCTCCAATCCAACTTGAAAATATGCAAGGAACGCACGAAACGTTAGCAGTCGTGAAGGATATGAAAGGCAGCAATGATTAGACGGCTCATTGATCTACTTTCGTTACACAAAATATTGATTTATTCTTCCGGTCAATCAACTGCGATCGGCTGGATGAACGGTATGCGAAGAGCCAAAAACGAACAAGAATCACACCATATTGAGTCTGACCAAATTAAGATGGCTATTACCGACAATGAGGTCGCAAAACGTAAGTTGAGCGATCAAGAGATCAAGAGCGAATATATTTAAAACCTCAATACGTGAGTCCAATTTATTCGGTGTGTGTGAAATGATAGAGGGTGTCAGGTACGACACGCAGACTTCCAAAAAGGGTTTTGTAAGCATCATTATACCACGTTTTTGCAGTAGGCTACAAGTTGTGCTCATTCGCTGCCTTTCAGAAACCACGGATGAGTAAGTATGTAAACATTATCCAAAAAATGCAGTAGCCGCGTTGTGAGCTGCACACAATCAAATCAGGATACATATTAGTTGACTGTATTTGTGAACTTAGGTTCGAATATAATTTGACATTTCATTGATTTGTAGGACAAATAATCCAATAGTAGCACAGGTCACATGACAAAAATGGCGACGGCAAAAACGAGGTTACGCAGTGTAACATACTACTAGCATGTGTCTGTACCTCTATCGTCGTTGAGTTTGAGTAGTATAGTAAGTGTTACGTTCTCGAACAGAAAAAGCACTTCAAACCTGAGAGAGTTTTCCAAAGACAAGTTTAGACCAATCAGGATACAAATATCATAATCAGGTGGTGCATGGAAAAATTTCAGGACCGCGAGAAAAGAAGGCCTTTCCTGTGAGCTTTCAGATCTTTTAAAAGAGTGAAACTAGATTTTACCATTAGTTTTGAGAGCTGTGAATCACCATGGCTTATGTCTTCGCAAGCATATGTTACGTATTTGTGAGTAGGACGAACAATGAGCTAAGTGGTATTTTATTGTGAAGTAACAAAATCAAGACTGTTCGTCCAAAAGGGTGAATAGATTTTGTTACCTCAGGCCTATAAGTCCAGGACTGTCTGTGCACATATATTCTAAACGTGGATCAAGAGTAAAATTTTACATCACAAAACATTTGTTGCCTAGCCCCAGCACAAAGAGCCATGAATCGGTTTGAGAGAGCTTTGTCTTCGAGCTCTGTTTTCAACGATGATCCATCAATCTCTGGTACGTTCTAATATGTCATGCCGATACCACATAGCGCTCTTCCCTGTCAGCAAAAGCAAATGGATAATTACGACAGATATATGACTGACTCGTTTTGTCATAACGGACAGGCCAAGAGTCCGAGTACTTGGATATGGACATGGACGAGGAAGAGGCGTTGCGCAAAGCTGCGCGCGCCGGCATCCGGTTGCTTGAAGCCAACACAGCATTAAATGAGGAAGTTATCGCTTTGCGTGAGCAGGTGACTCTCCTGGAACGTGAGCAGCGGAATCTACGGGCGCTATTAGAGACGCGAATGGTGGAGTTGGCTAGTATAACAGAGATCCGAAAGAATTTGATGATCGAGGCCAGCGCGTTGCACAACGAACTCAAGGCCAAATCAGTACTTGTGACGAATTTGCTAGAAAAGGAGGACTTTTTGAGACAGCAAGTGGCGGACGCTGAAGATGCTAAAATGCTGGTGGAGAATCATGTTGTCGAATTGCAGTTAGAGCTTAATCAGTTGAGGTCTGATACCGCAAAGGCGGAGTCTGCACAGCCCAATATTACTGTTGCGAATCCCGTAGCTACGTACGACTCGAGCCAAACTAGTGCATTTACATACGCCGATTACGAGACGCTACAGCACCGACTTCACGTCTCGTTGGAAGAGAATAAAGCGTTTGTTTTGGAGATCAAAAGTCTTCGCAAGGATGTTGAAACTTTGCGTTATAAGGTGGGCAAATTGCCAGAGTGTATGACCCACATTGAACGACTCGAAAAGCGCAATGCGAAGCTACGCAGTGCAAATGATACTTTGCGCGAAGAACGCATGGAGGAACAAGCCGTGCTTGACAGTCTTCGATCAATGAATCTAGTGTACAAAAAAATTGCCGACTCGCGCCCATTTGCGGTCGACTGCACATGTTCACAGCAATCAGAGATAACAGATCCACAAACTTTAGGTGTCACTGTGCGTGATGTTCTCATCGAAGAGAACATGAACCTTGAAGCCGAACTAAGAGAGCTGAGAAGTTCGATGAATTTACCACATAATGATTCAAACAATGATCAAAAAAAAGCGCTAAATATGGTGCTGAAGCGAGTAGAGAGTAGCAGTAGCAACGGCTCAGCTATATCGGACACTGCTAGCAGCTGTGGTGAGCCGATCGAGACGGCAAATGAGAGGCTCAGTCGAAAAGTGCAGATCCTTACCGAGAAATATGATTTGTCCAAAGAAATGCTGCGCCATACGAAGGTACAGTGGTGTGCAGCAATCGCATCACAGAAAGCCCTCGAGGAATGCTATAAATCAGCTCAAGCAGAAATTTCTCAACTCACCCGAAAGCTTGACTATCACTTAACATCTGATGCTGACACGAAAATTGATGATGGTGGGAACGAAATGGCATCACCACAAGGTGGCGATGAAAAAAGCAAATGGACAGAAGAGACGGCTCTGTTCTCAGCACCACCCGGTGATCTCAACTCACCGCTGATCAGGCGTTTGTTGGATTACTGGACTACTGACAAGGTAAAGGTTATGGCTCTTACTGACTGGTTACACAATTCAATCCGAGGCACTGGTCGAGCAACACCCATGCGCTTATTGAACCTGTCGAGTGAGATAGCAGCTGGGTTTACACAACTACTGGTCCCTATCATGCGCGAGCGACATGGCGTTTCCGTAAGCATTTACCGTCGTGACAGTGTGCATATATTGTCCGACTTAGTACTGCAGACCAATCACCCCTGCGTGACAAAGCCAGCACACTCCATGGTTGCATGTAACGACAAAGTCGTACCAGCGCATCCTCTTCACTGTGATAAAAGCAAGAAGAACTCGCCTCACTCTGTGTTTGGCAGTGCTCTAGACAGCTCTAGTGCCTTACTTCAAGGTGAAACAGAGTTCTTGTACGGTTAAATAGCACAAAAGAAATTCGTTGTATCAAGTTTAAGGATATCTTACAATAAACTAGGGAAGACCTAGTTTTTTCCTGACCCCTTCGTAAAAACGCGATGTGTAAGTCACGGTGTCCTGACCCCAACACATGTTGCATCGTAGGAAAGGCCACATATTTAGACGCTCGAACTGCCTATTCTTCTGTGGAACCCGACAGTTTATCTGATACGGTGGTTTTGAAATGGGTGTCTGAAGCACGTTACATACAGCCCTGGTTTATGACATTGGAGTAGAAAGCCGCAGCACGCGACGCTTAGTCTTTTTTGCCGTGTCTGCTTTCTCCATTCATCACTATCTAATTTTCTTCCAACAGCAGTCCCACTTTCCTTATGCCGAAACGCGTACTCTTAAATCAGCACCTTCGCCACACTGATCGAATAATAACGAAAAAACAAATGTCACCATTCAGTACTTTGAATGTGTGCTCGTCAACTGATCTCTACAATAACGCGTCGACAACTTTCTTCCCGAGCAACTTTCGCGAGTCCACAATGTCCGAGACGTTCTTGAAATTAACTTCATCTGGCTTTTTTAACAACAGCAGAAAACACAAACGAAGCCGCGTAACGAGTGAATGTGATCAAATTTCCACGTTTCAAGTTGCTATTAGCGACTGCTGCGTAGAGCCGTCGCACGAACCGTGTACGGATGAGATTTCGTGGTCCGAATTGGTCTTTTGGCTGGGTAACGTGTCAACCGGCGAACTACTGTGCTCGTGCACGCAGTGCACGCAGCGAGTCATGAGGGAGTACAGTGCAAGCTTGCACTGCCAGCAGCGCTATATGCCATACGAGCAGCAACAACAGCAGCAGATGCTGCATGTTTCATCACGAGTCCCAACGATCAACGTACCTAGAATCGAGGGTGTCAACTGTTAGCTCATCATCGGACATCTAATATTTAAATAGAAAGAGTGCATTTATGGCTTCTCGTTGTCGGCACAAGGTAGTCTTGTAAGTGCATCGCGATTTCCAACCTGCAGGTCGTTTCTTATTTTCCACTGCTTGCGCGATGTGCTGATCTGCAGCTCAAAATTTTCGAAAGTAGCGGGCTGAATCATTATCCACACTTTCGACGAAATATTGGGCGGCATGTAGATAGTCATCGCGATTTTAATGCACAATAACAGCTTAATAGTCTTTTACATGAATAGCAGAAAGCAGATTAGTGAGCATTACCGTTGCCAATGCTGAGAAGATTTGACAAAGCATGGTAGGTTACCGATTTTCACCTCTCGGCTACCGTGTCTGGTGAAAGATTAATGGTGCAATAGGCTTTAGCATAGATTTTCACACAAAAAATTACATGACCAGTTTCCATATGGTCATGATCCAGCAGAAGTTTTGCCAAATGATTGTAATAGTACATAAGAACTTATGTAAGAATTAAGTGAAGACCTAATGAACTGTCTCAAAAAAGGCTGCTTCAATATAGCACAAAGCCAGGGTAAATATCCGCGCCGATCAAATTAATTATTTTTAGCGACGCCACGCGTTAACTCGAAGGTTATTCGTCGACGACGCAAATAAATTTCATTTAGAAGTGCTTTGTAATTTTCCAGCCTTGTTTGTGAGAATTGCCGTCAAGCCGTCACACATCTTTTTTGTTGAAGTTTCGAAGAGACAGAGCCGGGGATTTTTCGGACCTTCCTGGCCAATCACACCGATCAGTCGTGTTGAAGTGACTGATTCGGATGACGCATAAACTTTGCTCGTCTGGATATCAATACCCTGTTGAACCCGTTTACTTGCGGAACAGTATCAAAGCTTGTACACCTTGAACAAGTATTTACCCGTCTATTCCAATAGAGCAAAAGAGTTGGTTTTCACAAAAATTCGTCAATTGACGATAAGCACGACAACGATTGGATGAAAATTGTCTGGATTATCAAGACTATATAAACGCCAGTGGCCACTTCGACGTTCCCCACATCGCAATTCAGATCAGTACTGCGTATCGCCCTATCCTGATTCACAGAATTCCATGGATATGCGTTCGTTAGTCCATCTGAGTTCACCTTCTAGCAACGGCAGCTCAGCTTCCACCAGTACTTGTACCAGCTATCGTGGATCTGCCATCATCAGTACGTCGTCGACGAATGCCGTCCCGCCCTTCTCAACCATGCAGCCCCAGTCGATCATTTATCAGCGCACTGCTCCGTTATCTGATGCTGCACGGCCTCAGGCGCCGACACTAGCTCCACTTCGCTTCATCATTCCAAATTCTCACGGAATCAATAGTTTTAGTGGGGTGGGCGTCGCAACATTCATGTCCTCAACGAATCAGTTCATGAACACTACTATTGTCGAGCCTGAATATGAGCCACTACCGCAACATTCGCTTTCGCTCTCGCAAGATTGTTCAAATACTACAACGAGGCAGCAACAGTTGTCACCTAAGGGTGGAGGCCAACTTGACATTTCTAGTCAACTAAAAAAGATTACACCCAAGCGCTCGCGCACCCCGAAACTTTCCAGTCGCTCTACGAAAAGCAAGGCACGTCCGGGTCTTCGCAAAGGCAAATGGACAGAAGAAGAAAGTCGATACGCCGCTCAGCTCACTAAATACTTTAAAAAGGGTCTTTTGCCTATCGAAAGAGGCACAATGCTACGTCTGTACCTATCACAAAAGCTCAACTGCGAGCCCATGCGCATTACGAAGAAATTCACAGGAGGAGAATGTATCGGTAAGCAAGTTTTTCGTCCATGTAGTCTCACGCCTGAATCACGCCTAAGGATCATGCAAGCTCAGGTTGAGCTGGTTGCACTTGAGGCTGCTTTTCTCAAGAGACTCAAAGAAAACCGTGAGGATCCACCTATCCCGACGAAGGAGTTTGATGTGCAACCAGCATCGTCTAATAACAGACCTCAACCTGTGCTTCTCAAGCCTCGGATGTACAAGGACGTTGGGGATATACCGGGAGGAGACGTAGACGACGCCAAAGCCGTGGGTCTGCTACTTGATTTCTTTTACAAGGCCCATCACAATGAAAAGAAGAGTGGGAAATGTACATCAGCATCGAAAAGCGACGAAGGCACAAATTCAGACGATACAGAGAATGAGGATGATCATAATCAAGAGGAGTCCGTCAATGCCGCGGCGCCAACTTCGCCAAGCACAACTTCGGCTAATATCGAGGAGACTGATCCAGCCATAAACTCCCCGACGAAACGCATGCGGGCGCTGTCAGTGAGTGGCTACGTTGATCCTGTTACAGCCAAGCGCTCTCGCATCGGCTCTTTTTCTACTGTTACAGCTGCATAGTCTTGATTTAGAGAATTGACCTTCAAACTCTAGGATATCATAGTCATAGTCTTAGAAGATAGAAATTTTGCCCAGATTTGAGTTTCAAAAATCGATAAGGAATATACCAGATATGCCGTAAATTTTACACGTGTCAAAGTCTTGCGTTGAAGGTGTTGATTGGTAGTTGAAGTGCACTACAGGTGGGATGCGTAAGCGCAACTGCGGTCTATTTTTCTCTTGGATTTGAATTGAGTCGGACATGCACTAAGAGTTAGGGGTGATCGATTGTCTTTTTTTTGCGAGAGTTGATTTTTTTTAAGATACGTAACTTGTCTTATCTTATTCGTGAATGGGCTTTTAAACCAGCTGCAATTCGATAAATGTTGAAGTCGACGTTACCTTGTGCTTTGCTGGGCTCTGTGACGTGGATCCTATCTTGCTTGAATTTTAGGATGACTCGCTAAAGGAATGTGGTGCTCTAGAACTCGTAGCGGTTGCTGTATTTACTGCGACTGAGAACAAACTTTAGCACTTGATTGAGTTATGTGAAAAGCAGAAAAAAAAATTGTAGTGATTGGCGTCGTTTGTTGTTGATCTCTTGTTACAGGTTTTGGAACCATTCGTCCACAAAAATGGCGTATTTCTAATCCTATCAAGGTGGAAGTGGACATCTCACGAGACTGACGCTGTAAGGATAAAAATCGGATTAATGGATTTCGTCAATTGTATTCGCACTTGCTATTGTCAATCCAACAAATGTGATCTTCAATCAAATTGGCTCCATTGTTCGACGTCGAGTCTTTAAGGTCCTTCTCCGCCCAGTTGAGTGATCGATTCAAACTGTTTAGTGGCTAGTTGGCTTTGATTAGGCTGCATTGGGTAATTGAAGATCGGATTACGCGTAGAAGTGGAAGTATTGCTAAGGACACATTGACATAGTACATGCTGTGATTTATTATTTATATATCATCGCTCGTCGGCTACAAATAGGTACTCGTATGGAGATGTGTGATGTTACGCAAACTTTCATTTAATAAGAAATCTAAAAAAGAAAATACATTCATCGGTGCAGTATTCGCAAGTGGAGCTTGTAAAAATGATACGCCAAAACATGTTTCGAACAAATCGACAGCTAACATACAGTACCATGGTAAAGGTGTTTCCAACACAAGAAGCTTTGATGCAATGTATGTCGCGGGTGGTCTTACAGCCTTACTAGGCGTACCGGGATCGCTCTAAACTCATGTCCATCCGTCTAGGAAAGCAAAACTTGCGAGCTATCTTCAAGCGTTAGGACCTCTTTCGCTGGGATCGTGTCAGATTAATTCCCGGAGGTGATATTGCCTCCATTGTCTCCGAACAGGTCCTATTTGCACCGCGTCCTTCCGCTTTTACTATTCCTCGGACGAAAATGAGGTCAGTGTCGTATTAAAGGTAAACATTAACATATTCAGTCACGAGGGAAAGAGTAGAGAAACAGAAGTGAAAGCTAAATGAGCGCGTCGGCGGCGATGGATCTCAGCCATGCTGAAGTAGAAAAGAAAGAATGTTTTGGTCATGAGCAGCTCCGTAGTACTTGAAAACGTTTTGTCTGTAGGATAATTGAACATCTGCGTCTTGTGTACACCCTAGATTGCAGCTGAGTGATGCGAATGGTCAAGTCCCCTATCAAAGTCATCCGACGAAGTTCTCTCGGGTTAAAATTGATCTTATGTAGGTGCAGAGTGGCTTGCTACAAGAAAATAAATTTATGCACCTCATGGAGCGTGGTTGATGAAGCTTAGGTAAAGTGGAACGCCTTTGTCTTGAGAGAGGAACCAAAGGCCCAGGGTTGCCGGCTGTTCGCATTAACTACCGAGCTTTGTGATGTCACAAATAATCATGATGGCATCTTACCACCACGTACGATATGCGACTGTTGAAACAGTAGAAAATATGCTGGTGCATTGATGAATCTAGTAAGTATACAGTATCCGTGCGTCTCGTGTTGGGGAAATTAGAGATGCTTTTGAGGACTCGTTGAGCCTTCAATTTGTTTAGCCCTCTGACAGCATGAATTGCTGTCTCTTTCTGGGCCCGAATTCAAAGTACAATCTCATTATAGATCTAACGTGGCTTTCAAGTCATGAATCATGAATGTATTGGAGATCGACAAAAAGGATGCCACGCACTTATTTTCTGCTAGCTTTCGGCAAGTTTTTAAGAGAAGAAGAACTTTTGTAAATAGTTAATTCTACGACAGCTTTTGTGCATGATATGAGACTGTCCAAAATGTTCAGCATTTATATTGTTAAATACCTGGTGTAGAGGCGGATGCGGCAGTAAGTCTAAATCTCTGGAATCGACCAAAAATAGCGTTTGTATATTGCTATCCCTGAAGTGTTTCTATACTGAGAGAAAAATACCCGATAATATCTCGTGGTTCACATTGGTACTCCTGGGTATGAACAATTGCGGCTGACTTCCGTGCTAGAGCCAGTGGCGTTGAAGGGTCACTGTAAGCGGAAAAACCGAGTTTGGGGCTATGATAAAAGCTCATCTTTTTGCAATGTAACAATACTTCTGAGTGAATACTGCCGTGTAACGCGCCCGCCGTGTAGAGCAGTGAAGCAGATATGGGCGAGAAAGATTATTACTTTTGAGCGGGGTGACCGGAGTAGTTCAAGGGATGGTTCGAACCCGTGAAGGTAGCTGTCATTATGGCGAAGGATTATCTTAAGTTGATGTCTGGATTGATTTCAAGATGGTGATTTATAGTGATTGGTATCGATAAGAGAGCTTTGATCATCTATGTCATGGATGGAACCCCTCTCGCGAAGCACTGAGTGTGGAAAGTGAGGTAGCAATTCCCGGGAAAAATTGGGATGTTGATGTGGTATCATGACGCGGAGACACGAGATCCACCACGCGCGTTGCCCCCGAATTTGAATTTTACCTGGTTCCCGGAACCAAATATTTGCCACACGGCACTGGTCCTTATTAAGGAAGCAGTTTGATGTCACACACGCTTGAATCGATGCGAAGCATCAAATGGGTGCGACAATAGTACATGAGCCGTTCCACCTGGCGCTGGGATGTTTTGTCATAGGATAACGGTAAGTATTCAATTGTACATGCTGGTAATCCGGCACAAACATAGATTGTTCGATAATATGCTACAATCAACATTTGTAGCGGCACAATACACTTGACCTGATTGATAAATACTATCAACTATTCGGCTCATGGGAGACAGCAGTATACCTCTCACTGCGGTGTGTACTCCGGGGTGGATGTTTGAGAAGCGATTGTTTATGCTACGATCTAAGGCCGACCGACGATTTGACGTCTGGTAATTCAGCTGTCCAGGCCACATCATGACTATGATAAAATCGTTTAACAAATTTAAGTAGTGCTCAATTTAGATGAGTGTGCCTTTGACGCCTATTTGATTTTCTTTCTGGGTCGCTTTTTCGGAAAGCATGGCTTCCGGGCAAAACATGCAAAACTAACGGTCATAATAAACTGTTCCTTGCTTTTATTTCAGATAAACGATTGGGCGTAGCTTGACTTAGTCTATCACTTGCATATGTATATTGAAAATTATGCCGACATGTCATGAAACTTCACTTGTTCTTTATGAAATTGTGTCGAATGGTGCTCAAGCGGGACACATAAAGCGACCCAGGTCGGCCATTTTATGCTGTCTGTGACGCTTCATCCTTCGCCATAGGCTGTGGATTACCCCAAGCGGATGTCGATAGGCATGAACATGGGATAGCTCCTAAGCTTTGCTAGCTTATAGTGAGAGAAAAGAATAACCCAAATTAAAACAAGGGCTACTTATAATACACAAAGCCACCGAAAATGCTAAGTGCATCCGCTCAGCTTGAAACCGTTTGTGACCAATACAGATATTTCGTCGTTGTAAGTAGCGACGTCGCTACCAGATCATGGCAAGATATTGGCTCATTTTATCGAGTATACCGCTGAGGTAAAACAATAAATTAGGTCGGCTCAACATGCATTTTCCTTGGCCCTGATTGTAAAAGCCCTGTGTCACAATGATGGTGTTACCAACCAAGGAGATATCTAGCGCGTGCGTAGGCGTATTTAGTGCTGCGTTGCTGAAATCAGTGAGAAGCAACAAGCTCAAGACCTCCGATGGCGCTTCATTGCAGCGCAGTTTGCGTGTTTGCACCACTATGCATGACTCCACAGCTTGCTGTATATCAGTACTATTCACGTGTGTGAGTACTCAATAATCAGAATCTCAAGTACAAAACACTGAATATCTGCCCTTTAGATGGCCAGTTTCGAAGAAGGAAAGCATTCTGGTCGGTAATCACTATGTTTTGCTGGCCCGATATGCATAAGTGGGTAAGAACTTGTGCGCGCACATTCGAAGTGTGTCGACGAGACAACCGTCACCTCATGCGTCGACACCTTTGACCAGCGTGTCGGTTCTGATAGTTTTTGGCAGTCTGAACGTTAAAAACTTATTGTTGGACTTCCAAAAGACGCACCGGGATTGTTGGTTTTGTGGGCCGTCAGGGGAGATGGCCCATTTTGCTGTTGTAAGCGATGCCGTAACAGGTGGGGATACACTCAAACGGCTTCTGTCCAAGAAAAGCGTGATTAAGGTTGCCAATTATTATTGCATCAGAATGAGATCCGCGCATTACAGCAAACTTTCAACAACTTTTGTTCTATGTGCCAAGCACTAGATCTGACATAATAACCTTTTTTAATCTGTATTCACATTGCCAGACGGAACGCTTGAATCGCGTTGAAGCGATATCCCCCATAGAGCTTGCTTGAGAGACTACAATGCTGGGTCGAATGACTTGCACTTTATTGCGTAATTGATACAAAAAGTATAAATTGTCATGATTGTGTCAATCTAGTTTTATTTGCACGACAAATTGCTAGCAATATAGCCTCAAACAAGGATCATTATTTCAGCTGCGGGTACCAAAACAAGATTGCGAATATTTCAGTGTACAACACGGATGGGGTGTGCATTATCGTAGTGCGTTTGTGCTCTGTGAAATTAAGCTCAGCTTTGTCATTACATTTAATGAGAATTTGGCTCATCTGGTTCCTCAGATGGAGCCAATTGTAGCGGATTTGATCGACAATCATTGGGTTTGTGTATGAATTGACGCAAACATCCAGAAAAGATCGTGTAGACATATTTTAGACTACAGTGTCGTCAGCGGTTAGATCGATCGCCGTATTTGCAGAGCAACATTAACCATACTGCGGCGCTCCAGTTGCACCTTGCTGGACTCATCGATGGCGTTTCTATTTTGCGATCGGTGTTCCGTCGATCGATATTGCCACGACCACGGCTGTAGCTTCTATGGCCGGATGGCCATTTTTTAGGCATTACGGGTGAGAATGGTAGATGTTACCTTCTTAAAACTTTGCAGGAAAACTTTGTACGTGCTTTCATTCGGCTATCACAGGGAACCTTTGAAGAGTGCCAGAGCTGCAAATTTGGTGTACGAGTGTACGAGCACTCATCAGCTTTAATTAACTTCGTCGCGAAATACATAAATACAGAAACTCGCTCATCTTTTGTCGTTTGATAATCGTCCATGCCCTCAGCTCAATATCGTTGACCATTTCAACTACATTACTCATCTTTTCTGATTGATGGTATAATACATTGTACACGAATAATATCTTCTATTCTTTTTTCATCGCCTAACTGGAGACTTCCAGTGTTACAACCATTGTTTCGTCCAGCTGAAAAAATCACGTCAAATTCTCCCGCTTATAATGTTGAAGCATTGAGGAAGAGCTAAATAAACGACGGGTTGCCGCGAAATCTCCGTCTGTGTACTTCCTTGGAATATACACAGACGTCATGAGAGCGTTCATGGGACGCGCTTGAGTGCTCTCAAAGTTGTTGAGAACGCTTCGATTTGCGACTCAGTTGGCAGCGCTGGTTAGGGCTGAACAATCAATGGTTAAGTCTATTCTCCCGATTTCAGCATGCTTTGTATCGAAAAGTTTGCTTAGCGGTCAGCGTACGAACCAAGTGGATTCAGTACAGCGATACAAGGCAACGCCTCCTTAAAGAAATACACAAGCATTGCAAGAATTTATTCATCTGAATGCACGAAATGTTTCTGGTGAAAGTTTATTGTTCTCCTTTGTGTCGGGACACTATCTCGGATCCATTTTTGGAGTCAGATGAAAGCTTGAAGTTTAGTATCATTGTCGCATTCGTCGTTGCCGACAGCGTCAAGGTTACATTCGTTTCCAGTCCTGCTCGGCGAACTATTTACGTCGGACATGTTGCTGCCGTTGTCTTCGCTCTCTTTCTCAGATACAGCATCGCAATCATTCTTTATCACAAAGCGGAGAATATAGTCTAGAGCTGCATACATGGGCTTTTAAGATACTTTTCTTCGCCTGTGAGGTGCGGATAGTGCTCAAAACCTGTAGAGGGGGCAGACGTGAGCATAAGACACTTGAGTGAAAAGGGGAAAGAAATACCCGGACAGGTCTACTCACCATGTGCTACAATAGATGACGATGGGAAGCGCTATATCCTTGACGAATGACTTCAGTGGTGCGTATAAAAGTTGTTACGGGGGTAGGAATTGTAATCTCATCCTACATCGTATTAAATACATTACGACACAAATGTACGAAGCTTACACTGTACGTTCGTGAAATTGTAAGCGCTCCAAATACACCTTTGAACGATCATAAAACTCCGAAAGGAGTCCGTGGAAGACATCAACTGCAAGCCACGCGTCGAAAGATCTAAATAGCTCAATCAAAAGAGAATGTTAAAGTTATATATTGTGGAAGCTTTGGTAGCCGATTATATATTGTCGCTTTGAAACCTCAGCGCTTTCGGTTTGGCTTTGTCGAAAACACGATTTAACATCAACTCATTTGTTGAACACAGTCTCTAAGCGTGAGAACTCTATCTGTGCAAAGCTCAAGGCGCTCCGATACCCTACGTAGCCGTTGTAGTCAATCTTACGACTGTCATGGAAAGACCGCGCCCTTTGCAAAGATAAAACATGAGATGTTCGACTACCTGTCACCGAGACAAATAGTCCAACTTAACATACTATCGTCCATCATGGAGTCAGAAAACTAACGGCAAAAGGGCTGGAGGTAGTAATCTCGCCTGGAGATGCTCACCAAATTTGAGATTGCACCGGTGAGGCACGAACAAGAGCACCCCAACCGAGCTTTGGTTCAGTCACAGTCGGCACTCATTATGAGACCGCTAATGCTGATTGTCTCGGCCTTTAAGAGCCGGGGTGTGAATAACCTGTTCCTTTGAATTATGAAAGTTGAAATGGCCATAGAGATTGCCGTGCTCTAAACGGAGCGACAGCGAGCCGCACTTGCAATCTTCAGGATGAAAGTCCGCGCTCGAGAATGGGCACTTGCTTGTAATACTTCAGTACAAAAGGCGCTCCCAACATAAAGTATATGAAGCGATTGATGTAGCTGGTGTTAACTCTGCCCAATGAGGCATACCAGTCAAGGGTGGCGAGAAGTGACACGCCATGTTTGGAATGAGGAAATCGAACCATCGCGTTGGCTTCTGAATTTTCCCCGAGAGTAGTGATGATTACTTACATAAAGTTTTCCCCAAGTGGTGGGTCTTGTCCCGAGACCTTCCATGTCAAACTTTTTTCGCTTAAAGAAGCGGTATGGTCGCGTTTAATGCGGAGTACAGCTTCAGTGCCGCGAAGGTAGGATGAGGTACTGGAAACGGACTTTTTTACAAGCACACCAATATCAATGAGCATCTGCTATGCCGAGGAGGGGGAGAAGATTTCATCGCTGCCCATCAGCTCCGTAGAACTCGTGATTGTTTTTTCTGCGGTAATCTGAAGCATCTGCGCCTTGTTTGACATCTTTGCTCTCGGCTGTTAGTAATTTTTATTCTCAAGCGGACAATGAGCAATTCAATTCACGGGGAAACTTCGAATCAGTGTAAGCGCTGAGTGATTTACCAAGAGGGGGCAAAGCTCTTTTGTGATTTGTTTTAAGGGATGACAACCGAGCTCTAAGGAGAACTTCTCTCACAGAGAGGTGGGGCTCACAGCCCAGGGCTGTTGGCACTTGATAAAAACGTTGTAGGCCTTTTTAATCCATCGAAAGTCCGCGTCAATCTCGTACGACGCGTAACTGATAGAACAAAAAGACAGTACATAGCGGTATTAGAGATACAAGATTGTCAAACGATTCCTTGCGTCTGGCTACGAATACCCTAAAAGAGTATTGGAACTTATCTGAATTTCATGTCAAGTTGAAGTCTTTCACAGCGTGGACGTTGTCGAGACATTGGATTTTCCATTCAGGATATGGCGTGGCTGGAGCGGCGCTAAATAAACCTCAACAAAAGGCCAGAGAATTAAGAGATTATCCCTTGGTGAGCCTTCGGTCATTCACAAAAGCGCTTGTATCAGAAAAAAGAAACACTTTTGCGCAGGCACAAAGCTGCGACAGCCTCGGTGTTTAAAATGGAATTGTTTTGAATTAAGCTTTATGTTAGTGCTTACTGCCTTGAGTGGAGCAGTAAGACAGAAGTAGCATAAAGCCTCAGTCTCACAATGGAGTGTCAAAGCGAATTTGTGTCGCGGTCTCCATAATTTACTTTGTGAGACAGGTAAAGAACGATGCGGTGATGTATTCTCCATAGAGTATCTATCATTGGATGGTAAGGTCTGTTGATCTCTGTTATTTTTTTGTGGTAGGGAGTGGGAGCGTTAAAGCACTGAAACTCCAAGGGTAAGTACACATCATTTGCGAATGGAGTAACCGGGTTAGCTTTAAGCGGTAAGCCTTTTCTCACTACTTCCAGTAGAGCCTTGAAGGGTCCAAAAGAATTATCTCTTGGGGGTTTTCGCAAAGATTCTCAATTTGGTGAGGTCAACAAGGTAGTATGGTTGGCATCAAAGGAATAGTTAGGCACGTTATCCGTCATAGTCGAATATGTCATTTTAAAACACTTGAAAGCGAGAATAAGAACAACAATCTTCAACAATTTGACAGATTTTTTTATCCTTTGCTGTAGGAATATCATGACTTGGTACCGAGGGATACACCAATCATGTAACTTCGAATTGGAGATGCGCGTGAATATGGCTTGCGTCAAAAAGTAAATGGATTTACCAAGGACCTCAAAATGCAATTTCTCCTGCAAATTACGGTACCAAAGAAGGCTAGCTTCTACACTCAGTGCCGACATTCTGTGGCATACTGGATGACGGCTAGTGGCAAACCTTGTATACTTATAATAAGTAAAATGCAGCGGGGCTGTCGTAGATCTTTGCTTAGAGGAAGCTAAGCTGAACGACCTTACGCTCTTTCCAAGAACCAATACAATTGAAGCGGATCGCAATCCGCTACTTCTAAGTACTAAAGCCTTAACCAGGCCAGAGAACACTTATGTGCAAAATTTAAACTGTATTTTATTGTTTTAGCTGCGGCGGAGCCGCCCATAAATAAACCCTAGGTTTTCCTAATTAAAATAATAATACCTGATTAATATACCAAAACCTTATTAATATAGCAAAATTAATATAGTAATATGCATTAGTACTGGCAATTCTGCCACGTGGTGGCTTCTTGTTACGGTTTAGCCACACCACTGTGTTATTACATTGATTTGTGTAATATACACCTATATACGGTCGAACCATCTTGTACGATCCGTCTATTCATACAAGAGTACGTGCAACCCCGTTACATGAATGCTTATTTGCTACCACAAGAAGATGGCTAGCTTACACCCTATACTTGGCGAAGAAGCATAACTATTTTGCTGGTATCTGTGATAAATATGATGGAACATTGCTGTACGCGATGGTGGTAAATCTATAAGAACCGCAAACGTCTTTGAACACCGCGATTATACACTGGAGCTGACGAAGGCTAAATTAATTAAAAACAGCTTCTTGTTATGGTAAGCGATATTCTTCTTCTAACTAGCAAGACTGGAACGCGATCACGAACTCAAGCTACTGAGCATATATTCGAAGCAAGAACAGCACATTACAAAGGCTGAGATTCGTGGGATGACCGATCTGAACTTGTGAAGAGCCAGAATTGGGGCACGCATATGACGTATTTTTCAATTGTAAGTATCGCCTCTTCTGCTAGACCTTAACACCATTTGGCGATTTTTGAAGCGATAAGCGAGGATTGTGTCACTAAGCGATTATACGTTGCTGGTGCAATAACCACTCTCATTTGCAAAACTAATTATTTCAAATGTATGTCGAATGGAGTATTCATCACAGTGAGAGAGATTTCGCTATCGTTTGCTAGCTGTTGACAATTCCCGTCAGCTATGTCAAGAGCACAGGACGCGTTGCGGTCGACAATGCTATTCCACAGCAAATTCTTTCCAAGAAACGGCACTTGCATTGAGGCTTCATTTAATACAACGGGTAGGTCGCACAAGATTGTGCGACCGTACATAGGTGCGTATTACCCAAGCTAGTGTAATAACACAGTGGTGTGGCTGCATCGTAACAAGAAGCCAACACGTGGCAGTATTGCCAGTACTAATGCATATTACTATATTGTTTGCTGAAACAATATTTACTAGCGATTTAGATATTGGCGGCTCTGTCGCAACTGAAACAAGTTAATACAGTTTATTTAACGGAAATGTTCATTTGGCACGATAAGGCTTTAGTACTTAGAAGTAGCGGGGTGCGAGCCGCTCCGCTCGTACTGGTTCTTAGAAAGAGTGTAAGGTCGGTGAGTTTAGCTTTCTCTAAGCAAAAAGTTACGGCAGCTCCGCTGCACTTGACAGCACTCGTAGTCAATCTACGCCTGATCATCTGTGAGGATGGAGGAGTACTCCTATTTGCCCCTGGGCATGCAGGACGGGCTAAATAAGCTGATGTCCCTGCTGGGCCCTAAGGGCGTGGAGCACCTCGTGTACAAAGGCCCTAGGCCATAAGCGCGCGTCTAAATGCGTTTCCAAATTATGAAAATGCTCTGTTAGAGCACCTACAGCAGAAGCCGTCAGCGTCGACTGCACCTTTGGCGCCACCGTTGGCGATGGATGACTGCGCCCCTGACCAAGGCCGCTCATGCTAAGTATTAAGACCTTCGAGGACAAGGATGGGGGGAAACACTATCTGGGTGAGAGAGGTCAAAATGGTCATGGTGTTCACCAAGCTTCATACCGAGTGGTGCTAGCTATCTGCAAACTCGGGGGTCGAGCAAGAGAATGCTGTACTTCGGTCAAAGCGGCGTTTCCCTCCTTGACGGAGCTGAAGTTGCAGCTTTCACGAGTATTCCCGCCGCCTAACTAGGCATATCGCTTGCGACCGCGTTTCCTTGCCGCCCGACAGAGCAAGAAGATCTTAGTGCACTTTGCTCAAGAATTGCGTACTCTAATTGCTGATATGGCAGCCAATCCTCTTCCCGAGTTGGCCACAGTTACCGTCTTTATGTAAACCCTCGGCACTGGCGTGGACATACTGAAAGTCATCCGTGTGCACCCGTCATCTTTTTAAGAAGCGGTGAACGTGGCATTGAATGCCGACTTCAACTTTAGGTCGGCACGGCACGACTTGGTTGGAATGCACACCCTCATAGCTCGTCGAGTGGGCCTGAGCCGATGGATCTCAGCTATACTGAGGACGAGGAGGCTGAGCAGCGCTCGAACCTCCGACACTGTTTAATTTGTGGAGGTACCCGTCGCCTTCGAATTGGTTGTTCTCTGCACAAGGCGCGTCAAGATTCATCAAACAGATGTTTCGCTATTGACCAGTTTTCTGGTTTGTCGCAGGGAAACGATAACAACCAGTAGGCGTGGAGCGGTCTACTGGTAAAAAAATGAGTTCTCTCGAACCTC